CGAATAAAATATAATATATCCGAAGTCGGTTCCACTCCATGTGATGAGGTGGACACCGTTATGGATACTGCATTATGTACAAGTAGCATATTCCTTATTTGTTCATGTATCTGTGGAGGATGAGATGTTAATTTTTGCAAATTTCTGTTTATGTTGTTCGCTTAATTGTAGCAAATGAATCTTCATGACTGATACATACCTCAGAAAAAATAATTGGGCTTGGGGGCAGGTTTGGACTTCCCTCCCTCTGTACCTGTACGTTGCACTTTTGTCCTCAATCTTTATTTTTTCAAGAATTATAACCTCGACATTTCATTAACACAAATTGACCCCTCCAAAAATATTGTTAATTAATAAAAGAATCAGGCTAAAATTTGGCCATTCTCCATTACTCTCTATTAGTCTTCTTCACATCATATCTGTAATATCCAATTCGTGCTGTATTAGCAACCGTAAAGTAGAGTTACGTCCAAAGTCATCAAGGCATGACTAACAATAGAAAAGATTCATAATGATCTCAAATCAAATGATCAGTTTCACAACCATCGAAATCAAGATTTGAAAGACCAAAGCATTTATAGTGAGAACAGAATACGCAGCGCCGGTCAATTGTGCTGCTAATAACCACTTTGAATATAAGCTCATAGTGGGGACACACCAATGCAAGTTTTGTAGACTTTTTCCTGAAAATTGTGTAGCTATTTTACACTCAAAATTTGCTTTTATAAAGTGATTGAGACACTTATGGATGTGGACTTGAGCTAAAATTGTACACATATATATCCATGAAGTAGTCCAAAACTAAATTATTTGTATAGACTGACCTTTATTTGTTTAGTACAAGTAATTTAGTCCAAGCCTTGTTTGGTTCAGTTAAAAATTTTGATTAAAATTTAAGTTAAAGTTAGTCGACAATTAATTTTAATTTTAATCATATATTTTATGGAACTCATAATTTTTTAATCACACATTTCAGCAATTTTTACTAAAAAATTGATTTTTATCCAAACAAACAGGGGCTAAGAGTGTTTTCAAAACTTTATATTTTAACTGTTTTTTTTTTTTTT